TCTGGTAAATCGAAGGTTCCTTGATTATGCTCCTACTATATGTGAATTGAAGAAAACACAGAAGAAAATGAGCTCTTCCTGAAGGAATTTACAACATTAATACACATCATGAGTCACAATTACTATGCATACAGTATGACACACAAAGAGATCTATAAAGTATGTGGATTTGTCCATCATATATCAATAAAGATAGGGAAACAAAAAAAATTCTGAGGACTTTGGAAAGACCTCTTAAAATTAAGTATTTTGGAGTCTTCTCTTTGATGGATACTCTGGGCTTCCTTTGAAATTAATATTTTTTCAAGACTCTTACACCAATAAGCAGGAATTAATTTACTCCAAGTCTTTTTCAGGACACATACCTAAGATAGAAGTTTACTTTCATATCACTGTCACTGCTATTTGATAAGTCAGCAACATTTGGCTGACTGGGAAATAAGGAGTTGCAAAACTTTCAAATGGCTTTGACCTTCTTTGAAAACTCATTCTAAGAATGGTAAAAATTCATGTCTGGTTAAATTATACTTATTTCACCTCACATGTTAGTCAAAGGAGAAAATTATCTGAAGCGCTTGGTGGACAAATGAAGGAAAAAGGCCACACTGTCACATAGGAATAGCCTGATAATGAGTTTATTGAAATTAGCCTGATAATGAGTTTACTGAAATAAACTTACAAGGAGCAAACCAAGTTGTATTATAAAAACTAAATGACCTTCAAATGCTTAGGGGACTTGGGAGAAAGAAATCTTCCTGGAGCCAATGAAAACAGCTAAGGCCCAGAGGTGTGTTTGTTAGTCTAACTGACAGCAGTTGGCAAGATTCATTTGGAGTTCCTCCCTAAGACTTGTTGAGGGCTCCCTGTTCGTTAATAATATACCTCTGGTTATGGACTTAAGTTTGTTTCATCATTGTATTTGTTAAAGATATATCTACTGTATACACACCAGGACAACTTGAGTTTCAAAGCAACTTAGATGATTCTGTAAGTTAATACTGTCGTTTTATTCATACATTAGGAACTACTGGATTTAGCATTTTTATGCCCTCTAACACAAATAGAAATGTATACCCATTGTTCCTTTGCTAGCATAACAATACAGAGAAAATCTCCGTATAACCTTTTGTATTAAATCTAAAGAATGTTTCATCTTTACAGACTTAATGTCTTTGTAATTACTCTAAAAATGGAAATAACAAGAGCAACACTTCCTGGAAATGGGCAAAAGACAAGAGGAAGCTGAGTAAGCAAGGTATTCTATGGTTTTTAGGATTTTCTAGGATGGCAACTCTTGTCGGTTTTCAAGATGCTTTTCTGTACATCATCTTAATTAGCTTCTCCCCATACCCTCAACAAAATGGAGTAGGCGGCAAGAGTAGTATTCTCATTATATACATGGAAAACTAAAGAGACGTTATTACATTTGTAAAGATGAACTAAATCCATCTCATAATCTAATACATGAGAAAGCCATGCCCTGACTCCCATCCTAATGTTCTTTCTACACATTATGAAATATGGAGTTAAATATTAACAAATAGTAATCATTGTACCTCAGGAGTCTAAGCTCATTGGTGCCTCTCAATTTTCAGTTTAAGTTCCTAAGTAACTACTTTCCAGACTGATCTTTACAAAATTATGATAGTAAATATATTGATTATACTGTATCCATCTGATCTACTGTTTGTCAATTGGAGCCCAAACAACAATTCACTTGCTAAGCAGACAAGCACAGATTTGCAAGTCCTCTCAGTACCCTGTATAAACCTCTGAATTGTCTCAGTCAAACTGGAAGGTCTATGAGAAATGAGGGAATATTTTTCAATGATTTTTCTTCTGCCCTACAAAATAATGCAAATAATAAAGGCATTGTTATTATCTTTATTATAAAGTACCTGCCAAAATAAAATTTGATGGCAAAGGAGACTATCCTTGGGTGTTAGTGAGTAAATCATACCAGAAATGCTAACACTTAATGTGTGTCATAGTGCTTTGGAAATATAAAAGGAAAATAAGTTACTATAGATTCAGTGGTTTCCATGGATGGGATACATTCCAGGAAAAATGAGTAATAGCTCATTTTAACTTAGTGAGGTTAATGATGTTATGTCCTTCTTCTGGGGATGAGGAAATAGATGAGCGAGGCTCTCCAAGATGCACAGCAAGAATAGGACATGTCTGGGATTTGTAGACAAGACACAGTTGGAACACAGAAAGACTTCTACACACTATAACTGCAAGGTCACACAGTGCCTGCCCTCTGCCCCCCCTTCCTCCCACCCCGCCCCCCCATCACCACATATTTTTATATAGTCTGAAGAATGGCATCTCCCATTTTCAGTGGTTGAAGACATAATCACAAAAAAAAAAAATGACAACATGCAAACTATACAAAAATCCAAACTTCAATGTGTATATATAGCCACCTTCACTTACTTTCAAATTACAAAGAAAGAGGTGAAACACTGTAACAAAGACTGAATGAGGCCTACAGGAATTAAAGTATTTACTACCAGGTCCTTTACCGGAAACACTGTTGATGTCTGCTCTAAGCCACATTACTTTTTTTTTTTCTTTTGTGACAGTCATGGGACTTTAACTCAAGGCCTGACTGCTGTCCCTGACCTTTTTGCTCAAGGCCTGTGCTCTACCACCTGAGTCATAGCTCCATTCTGTATCTGTTCAATGATTTTACATAAATATCTTAGTATCACAAACTTAACATATTCAAACCAAACTCTCCAATTTCTCCTACTACTCATATCCCAATAATCTCTATCTCAATAATCTTTCCAATGGAAAATTTATTTTCTTAGAAAAGCCATGGACCTAAAGATTACTCTGAGTTTTTTCTTTTATTTATAGTCAAAACCATCAGCAAATTCAGTCAGTTTACCACTGCAATATCCAAACATATTTTTTAACCTCTCTTAGCACCCTGGTGCAAGTCATCACCATACTATTTCTGAATTTGCCTCTTACCAAGTCTCCCTTGCTTCAACTCCTATCCAAGAAAACAGCTAGATTGCTATTGCAAACCTATGGCCTTCCAAGCTCACTACTGCTGCCCCAAGGCTCTGACGCTAACTTGCTTCCCTTTTACTGTTGGCCTCTTCCAAAATGTTATCTCATTTCTTCTCCATCCAACCTCAAACTACACATTGGCCCTAGGACTTCATTTTCCCTGCCAATTCGTTGTTCCTCTTAATATCCATCCTGCCATATACTATCTAAAACTGGCTTTTCACCTGATTTAAGTTCCGTGAGAGTTGATGTTTATTTTATTTTCAAAACTGGGGCATCCATCTCTGGCACTAGTCAAGAGCTTGACATATATCAGAAACTTAAGTGGACATCTGCTAAACCTAGTGACATAGACAGATGGGTAAATACATGTAACAGATAAAGGACCATACCAAGCAGGAATTTTTGGTCTTCTTTAGTGTCAAATATTATATTCTAAACAAATTAAACTTCAGGAGTCTTGATCAAAAGTAAGAGAAAAGCCGGGCATTACTGGCTCATGCCTGTAATCCTAGTGCTGAGATCTGAGGATACTGATTCAAAGTCAGCCCAGGCAGGAGTGTCTGTGAAACTCTTATCTCCAATAAACCACCCAAAAACCAGTAGTTGTGCTGTGGCTCAAGTGGTAGAGCACTCACCTTGAGCTGAAGAGCTGAGGGACAACACCCAGGCCCTGAGTTCAAGCCCCACCACAAAACAGAAAAATAAAAAAAGGAAGAGACAGCTCACTTTATAGTTTATGGGATATGTATGAAATTAATCTAGACCACAAATCTAGTCCAGAATACAACTCCATTCTAAACTGATTTCATTCTTTCATTTGTAGTCCTAATTCCCAGTTGTGTCTCTGCACAGTGATAAGCTCTACTCCCTTCTCTCCTCCCAAGTCTATTCTCTAAGGACTACTATTTGGCTCCTACATTTCTTAACCAAAAAGGCAATAAAAAGGGCTTTTCCTAAGTACAATATCACCTTTAAAGAAATACCACCTCTAATCTACTCAAGTTTAGTCAGTGTTTGGAAGAGCTATTAGTAGCACTCTACTGTTAGAAATGGAGACTGAATAAAGAGAAAACATGTGAGGGACTTTTCAAGTGATAAAATGCATCAATAAACCAATAACACAACTATACTAAAAACAGCAAAAGAAGATATGATATTTCCGGAGAGAATGACCTACTGGCATGGTTTCATTTCCTTGAAGTTAAAGTCTTAATTTAATGATTTTTAAATGAATGTAAGGGAAGCTGCAAATGTAGTACAAGTATCAATGACAAGAAATAGTCATACCCTCTCCTCCAGTCTAGCCAGCTGCTCTTTGTAGAATGCATCCTGCTTCTTTATCATTCGGTCTTTTTCTTCCAGCTGCTTAGCCTAAAAAAAGAAACGAAGAATATACTATATCAAGAAAAGGCAGCAACAGCAAAGCAAAAGTCAAGTACAAATCACATTAGCAATAAGTACACAAAGAAAAGCATACCATAGAAAAGCATTAATAAGATGATGATTGCTGTATTTCAATGTAAAGAAAGAGCTGGCATTGTTGGGTTTTTTGTTGTTGTTGTTGTTGTTTTCTGTAACAGCTGTGTCCTACTTTGCCCAAATGTGTTTGGACTAAGAATATAGCACACTACAGACATCTTATTTAACTTCTTTCAAAGAATGTATTTTGCAAAAGAAAACTTCCGATATCATTCTGGGAAGATCTATGTTTACTGACGTTCTTCATTAATAACAACAAAAGTTGCATATGTAACAATTTGTACATAAGCCTTACACTTGAGAACACTTAAATTGCCCAGTAAAACTTACTTGTAGAGATACATATGTTGATCTAGTTCTTTATTTATGAAATAGTAATTTCCTTAGGGAGAGAGAAGCCAAAACTATTGTAATTGTTTATTTAAATAACTTAAAATAATAAATATCCTTTAAAACAATTAGTAATAATACTTCTAATTTACGAGATCTTACTTTACAAACTTAATTACGAGATCTTACTTTACAAACTTAGTAAGGCCAGTAATAAAATATTTTGATTCTTTAAAAAATAATAAAGATGGCCACTTGTGAATGTTTCCCAAGATTACTTTTAAAAACTTTTCTTGAACTACTGTAGTATGCTCAATCATATTTAATTGACTTTTACCCCTGATGGAAATGCCTTTATGTCATCTCAACTTAGAAAAGATATTAAGGCTACATGTCTGATTACTATTTATGAGAAATGAACATATTTTGGCATTCCCACTATTGTATAGGTTCCCCCCATCCCCACCTTTTTTTTTTTTTTTCATCAGTCGTAGGTCTTGAATTCTGTGTCTGGGCGCTGTCCCTGAGCTCTTCAGCTCAAGGCTAGTGCTCTAACACTTGAACCACAGCACCACTTCCAGTTTTCTGGTGGTTAATTGGAGATTCATATCTCCAGTTCTCACGGACATTCCTACTAGGGCTGGCTTTGAACCGTGATCCTCAGATCTCAGCCTCCTGAGTAGCTAGGATTACAAGTGTGAGCCATCAGTGCCGGGCCACAGGACCATATTCTTTTGGGACGTGTCTGCTGGCTGGCCCAGTTTACTTCAGGGTACCTGTCCACTCAACTCCTCCTAGCTAACATGAATGAACCTGCACATTTATTGGTTGTTTTGTTACTTACTTTGTCTTCAATATCCTGCAGCATGTCAAAAACAAACAACAATCATTTAACAAGCTAAGCACAATATTTTTCCTAATGCCCAAGACAAATCAAGTAATTTTTTTCAATGTAAGCCAGAAAAAGTAATGGGGGAAATAATAAAAGAAAGACTGTAATTTGGAACACAATGAAATGTCACTGTACTCTTCCTGTTTAAATATAAGATTTCAATAAAAAGTTCAAGCTGCTTGAAAGCATATGAAGATTAAATAAAGCATATAAGATTAAACAAAATCATGTGCAAATAAATAATCTACAGTCCATTGTGATAGAAAAATCTTACTCGTCTTTACCAATATACAAAGAAAGATAAATGACAAAAGAATTTTTGACAAAGCTGAGATGAAATATCATTGACTATAACCTAAAAAGTCCTCAAAATTTAATGTGTATAACTATATATCAAAAAATGGAAGAGAATGTATTCGTAAAGGTATCCACAAACCCATACAGGTGTATATGATATGTATACACACACATAAGAATCATATATAATTATATTTGTATATAATAAAAATGAAGAAATAACAGAAAGAGGAAAACAAGTATGTGCAAAAGCTATTGTTATTAATGTTCTAATGTTATTAGAACACTTTAAAACAGAAGACTTTCTTTAGCCCACTTCTCCAATAAACTCAAGAGAAAACCATACACAAATAGCATAGACCAGTAATTCACAGAAAAAAATACAAATGTAATAGCATATGGAAAAAATATTAATGTGAATTTAAATGTTAATGTAAATCTGAATATAAATTCAGGTAATAAGGTTGTATTACTCATTTATAAAATTGACATAAGTATTAGATTATAATAGCCGAAACTGGCAAGGACATAGAAAAATAGACCCTCTATACTGCTGGTCAAAGTATAAATTGGTATAGCCATTAAGATATTAATTTGACAAAATGAATTACAGTAAGTTCTAAAAATGGGCATAGCACTGAGATCTAAAACTCTACTTCTAGGATTTTTCTTAAGTAGTTACAGCAATATGCAAAAATGGTCATTATAGAGTTACTAAAACTTAGCAGGGAAATGAAAGAAAATCCAATTTTTAACTAATATATATAGTTACTAAATAATAATTAATATGTATACTAACTAAAATGACCAAAAAGAAAAAGGAAAGACTAATAAAAAGGGGATAGAAAGCACAAAAATACATCCTACAAAAAGAATCAAGGTATAATATATATATATATATATATATATATATAGTACCTTGTTTTATATATACATACATATATGTATATATATATGGAATTCTATGCTTCCATAAGAAAAAAATGACACTACCCCATTTGTAAGGAAATAGAAGGATTTAGAAAAAATCATATTAAGTGAAGTAAGCCAGACCCACCAAAGAAACATAGGTCCCATGGTCTCCTTTATTTGCAAAAATTAGTATACATCCAGTATAATCTTAGCAGATGAGCAGAATAGTTCATCTGCTATATGACCATATAAGATGATGCTAAGCCAAATGAACTCCAAGACATGGACACAGAGGTTTCTCTTTGTTGTTGTTGTT